GGGGTATCATATTTTGATTTGACTTTAGGGTCGTCTACCCTTTTGACTACTAATTATTATTATAGTTTCGTCTGGAAATATTATATTGTTAACTTAAATGTTTATGTACATTATAGTTCCGTTCGGAATTATTATATTGTTAAGTTTTAAGTTTAGGCATATTATAGTTCCGTCAGGAAATATTATATTATATTGTTAAGTTTGAATGTTTAGGCATATTATAGTTCCATCTGGAAATATTATATTGTTAAGTTTGTATGTTTAGGCATATTATAGTTCCGTCAGGAAATATATATTGTTAAGTTTGTATGTTTAGGCATATTATAGTTCCATCTGGAAATGTTATATTGCTTAGTTTGTATGTTTAGGCATATTATAGTTCCGTCTGGAAATATTATAATNATTATATTCCTAGATAGATACTTCATTATATTCCTAAGTAGATACTTCATTATATTCCTAGATAGATACTTCATTATATTCCTAGTTTTATACTTCATTATATTTCTAGGCAGAAACTATATTATATTCCTAAGTAGATACTTGATTCTATTTCTAGATAGATTCTTCATTCTATTTCTAGGTAGATACTTGATTCTTTTTCTAGGTTGATTCTTCATTCTATTTCTAGATAGATACTTCATACTGTTCCAATTTAGATACTTCACTCTATTCCTATATAGTAACTTTATTATATTTTTAGATAGATTATTCATTCTATTTCATTCTATTCCTATTTAGATACTTCATTATATTCCTAGGTATATACTTCATTCTATTCCTATGTAGAAACTTTATTATATTTCTAGGTTGATACTTGATTATATTCCTAGATAGATACTTCATTATATTCCTAGATAGATACTTCATAATGTTCCTAGGTTGATACTTCATTATATTCCTAGATAGATACTTTATTATATTCCTAGATAGGTACTTCATTATATTCCTGGGTAGATACTTCATTATGTTCCTAGATAGATACTTCATTATATTCCTAGATAGATACTTCATTATATTCCTAGGTAGATATATTATATTTTTAGATAGATATTCCTTTTTATTTCTTGGTTTTTATTCTTCTTTCTAGAAATCAAAAGTTCAATGTAAAATTATATGTTAAGAGTTTGTTTAGAATTTTTTACAATTTTAAGTGTTTGGTATAATCCACAACTGTTCAAAAGCAAGCGATTATATGGTTTCACATTATTGATATTCTTGTATTGTGTGATGTGTTGTATTCAGGTTTACTGGATACTGGTTAGCTAGGAAAGAACGTGTATATTATGTTTCAACCTCTTTCCTGTTATTTACTCCTATTTTTATATTCCTAGATAGATACTTCATTATATTCCTAGATAGATACTTCATTATGTTCCTAGGTAGATACTTCATTATATTCCTAGATATCTATTATATTCCTAGATAGATACTTCACTATATTCCTAGATAGATACTTCATTATATTCCTAGATAGATACTTCATTATGTTCCTAGATAGATACTTCATTATATTCCTAGATAATACTTCATACTGTTCCTAGGTTGATACTTCATTATATTCCTGGAAATCAAAAGTTCAATGTAAAATTATATATTAAGAATTTTTTTTAAAAATTTTTTACAATTTTAAGTGTTTAGTATAATCCACAACTGTTGAAAAGCAATCGATTATATGGCTTCACATTATTGATATTTTTGTATTGTATGATGTGTTGTATTCATGTTTACTGGATACTGGTTAGCTAGGAAAGAACGTGTATACAATGTTTCAACCCCTTTCCTGTTATTTACTCCTATTTTTGGTCGATCCATTTTTCCCTTGGATTTATTCTTACGTATGTTCTTTTTGGTGACTTGTTAATTTTTTCTCTTTTCTTTTAACTGAATTTTACGTGGCTTTACTGCAGTCTGCACTGCATTGTACTTTACTGCACTGCACTGCACTGCACTGCACTGCACTGCACTGCACTGCACTGCACTGCACTGCACTGTTAGATATTATACTTGTTTAGGTTGGATGTGGCTAGGTGTACTCTACTGTACCTACTTCAACACTGTGTACTTGTTAACCATGGAGGGTGTATTCTCGGTTTTTGCTCTTCTCAAGTTCATATTTCCTCTCATCATGATTATGTCCGGGATGGATATGTCCTGGTCCCAGGTAAACAAATGTCCGGGTGGATATTTCTGGTCCCAGGAAACCAAATGTCCGGGATGGTTATTCCTAGTCCTAGGTAACCAAATGTCCAGGATGGATATTCCTAGTTCTAGGTGACCAAATGTCCAGGATGGATATTCCTAGTCCCATGTAACCAAATGTCCGGGATGTATATTCCTAGTCCTAGGTGACCAAATGTCCGAGATGGATATTCCTAGTCCTAGGTAAATAAACGTCCGGGATGGATATTCCTCGTCCCAGCTAACTAAATGTCCGGGATGGATATTCCTAGTCCTAGGTAACCAAATGTCCTGGATGGATATTCCTAGTCCTAGGTGACCAAATGTCCAGGATGGATATTCCTAGTCCCATGTAACCAAATGTCCGGGATGAATATTCCTAGTCCTAGGTAACCAAATGTTCAGGATGGATATTCCTAGTCCTAGGTGACCAAATGTCCGGGAAGGATATTCCTAGTCCTAGGTGACCAAATGTCCGGGAAGGATATTCCTAGTCCTAAGTAAATAAACGTCCGGGATGGATATTCCTCGTCCCAGCTAACCAAATGTCCGGGAAGGATATTCCTAGTCCCAGCTAACCAAATGTCCGGGATGGATATTCCTAGTCCCAGGTAACCAAATGTCCGGGATGTATATTCCTAGTCCTAGGTGACCAATTGTCCAGGATGGATATTCCTAGTTCTAGGTGACCAAATGTCCAGGATGGATATTCCTAGTCCCATGTAACCAAATGTCCGGGATGTATATTCCTAGTCCTAGGTGACCAAATGAGATATGTCCCGATAAAATAAAATGAAACAACCTAAAGATCATGTAAAATCATTCTAAAAATAATTAAAATGAAACATTACCTTGAAACAGGAGAGATACTAAATTAAAGATCGAAACAGGAGACTTAATATACAAAGATCATTAAGATTAGTTGTTTTAATTTTAACAAACATTAACAACAAAATATTAAATGATAATATAAAAATAATGATAACAATCTTAAGGAAATCGTATTTCTAAGGTTGCAATATTTTTCTGGAGTGTGCACGTGGCGGCCTTTCTTCTGGTCTCTGTTCTCCTCATTTACCATATCCGTCTAATCTGCCTTGGTTCCACAACTTTCGAGTCTAACAGGAACATATTCAAATTATTTTCTCGTTTTTCTTTCTAACTTTAAAGGGCTTATTTCAATAGGGGTATTTCTTATTCACAACTTAACCCTTTAAACCTCAAACTGAGAAAGATGTCGCCATAGATCATTTGCAGAGGAACTTCAATCGAAAATAAATCTTAAATAGTTTGAAGGGTACAGTTATTATCCGATATGCCACTCTATAAACAGAAGATCCCTTGAAATGATATCTTCATTTAAAAGAAAGGAAATAATAAACATTAATTTGTTTTAGCATTTAGTTCGGTTTTCCTACTTCCTGTTAAAATTAGTTTCCGAGAAGTATTTCAATTCCGAAAAATGTGTTTCCTTTCAATGCGTATTTCAAAAAAGAAAGGGTCCCTGGTTTGTTGAGCTAGCGAAAGGAGGGGTCCCTGGTTTGTTCAGCTAGGCGGGAGGGGTCCCTGGTTTGTTCAGCTAGCACAGGCAGGGGTCCCAGGTTTGTTAAAGTAGTGCAGAGATGGGTCCCTGGTTTGTTGAGCTAGCGCAGGGAGGGATTCCAGGTTTGTTAAGCTAGCGCAGGGAGGGGTCCCAGGTTTGTTAAGCTAGCGCAGGGAGGGGTCCCAGGTTTGTTAAGCTAGCGCAGGGAGGGGTCCCAGGTTTGTTAAGCTAGCGCAGGGAGGGGTCACTGGTTTGTTAAGCTAGCGCAGGGAGGGGTCCCAGGTTTGTTAAGCTAGCGCAGGGAGGGGTCACTGGTTTGTTAAGCTAGCGCAGGGAGGGGTCCCAGGTTTGTTAAGCTAGCGCAGGGAGGGGTCCCAGGTTTGTTAAAGTAGCGGAAGCAGGGGTCCCAGGTTTGCTAAAGTAGTGCAGAGATGGGTCCCTGGTTTGTTGAGCTAGCGCAGAGAGGGGTCACTGGTTTGTTAAGCTAGTGCAGGGAGGGGTCACTGGTTTGTTAAGCTAGCGGAGGGAGGGGTCACTGGTTTGTTAAGCTAGCGCAGGGAGGGGTCACTGGTTTGTTAAGCTAGCGGAGGGTGGGGTCCCAGGTTTGTTAAGCTTGCGGAGGGAGGGGTCCCAGGTTTGTTAAAGTAGTGCAGGGAGGGATCCCGGTTTTTTTTTTAAATAGCGCAGGGAGGGGTCCCCTGTCCCTGGTTTGTTAAAGTAGTGCAGAGAGGGGTCCCGGGTTTGTTTAAGAAGATCAAATATTTATCGAAAATTATAATTTTTTTCCGTTGATTTTCTTTATTGAAGGAATTTTTTTGGGGTATCACTGACTTGGAAAAATTAATCATTTTGAGAGAAAAAATATAGAATTTATGTGTAAAAAGTACCCTGATACTAATAAGGGATACACTTTCCTTGTATATTCTTTAAAATATATACCCAATATGTACATTTTTTCAAAAAAATGGATTTTTTACTTGCTCGGTATTTTTTACTTTTACAAATAGCTGAAATTAATCTCCGAATGTTTTTTTTGCTATTAATGGATTCGGACTTTGTCTTGATTTAAAAAATGTTTTTTATGCTTTTTTAATAATAACAGGGTTTTCTTAAAATTTACCAATTTTTTACTCTTCTCAAAAATAGCTTCCAGAATCTAAACTAGAGGATTATTTTGTGATAACAATTCTCCAGGAACTTATGAAGCGCGACATTGAAATATTTGTTGCGCAAATTTAAAGAAAACACGAATCCTTGAATTTGTTGATATGTAGAAACGTGAAATGCTACAACCTCGGCCTCAAGGAGAACTGGGTGGAGGTTCTCGGATCTAACTGGGCGCTCACTCTTATTTGGCCTCTAAGGTTGGTTAGATTTTATATTCCTTAAAGAGATTGAACGTAAATTTAGGTAGCCCTCCATTGTATAGGTATGTCGAATTCAGAACGGTGCCCTTTAATTCCTAAGCTGAGTGAGAATTCCTAAGATTTTCTCGTGTTTAATTAGCACGATTTCCTCAATTGTCTTTGCAGCTTAAATATGCAATTTTCAAGTCATTTTTAAAAAGATAGCATTATTAAAAATATAATTATTTAAAATAATTTTCAATTTTTTGCTTTTTTTCCCCTTATTTTTATCCTAAAACCATTTAGAAATGAGGAATTTATTATAATCTCCATTTTTTCAAAAGTTCAGATTTGGGTTTTAGGAGTAAAAAAGGTTTTTTTGCAGTTTTTGGTTGATATTTTACCCCTTGGATCCGGATCCGTGGATTTGCATATTTTTGCGGATCCGGATCCAGGACGCCAAAATCTTGCGGATCCAACGGATCCGGATCCTAAGCACTGCTTGAAAGCTTTGTATGNTATTTTCTCCCACACATCATTTATTTTACCCAATTAAGCTTTAAACCCCTTTAAAAAAATTTCTAACAACGATGTGGGGGGGGGATTTTTGAGGGAAATACACACCCCTCATGGAGTCTGTTTCGATAATCTTTGCTGACTGGTTTTCTCTTTCTTTTTTATGAATCTGTAATGCACAAAACTATTAAATTTTGAATACACAAAACAACATATCCTCCACTTGCAGTACACAAAATATGTATCCCGCAGAATTACCGAATGATTTCACAACGTAATTCCATATAATAAATCAAGAATAATTCCCAGCTATCTTTTTCGGTCGGTAAAGGCTGGACTTTATGTTCTCGTCTATTTTGCAAGCATTGAAAAAGAGCAATATACCCATAGAGAATAGAATATAAATTAGAGGGGAATTTGGAGAATCTCGGTATGAATTTTTTAGTCCCTTTCAGCCTGAAAGGGAGTTCAAAGTGTACAAATCATGTAAATGTTCACAAATTATATGCAGTAGAGTACATTAATACAGTAGTTCCCTACCCTACAGTGCCGCAACTCCTATTGTCTTGATATTACGATGTATTTTTACGTATTTCTATTGTTCAGTAAGTCGAAGTTACCCCACAACGGTGTAGAGTGGGACACTAATGAATCCTGGAAATTAGAAGCTCCGAAGAACAAATAGATTGATGTTTTGATGGAGTTATGGAAACATGGAGTCATGGAGTCATGGAGTCATGGAGTCGTGGAGTCATGGAATCATGGAATCATGGAATCATGGAGTCATGGAGTCATGGATAGAAAGAATCCAAGAAATAAGATAAGAAAAAAGTAAAATACCAATGCCAATTTAAATATTTTGATCTCAAACTATAATTTTAGAAATGCTCAAAGCGGCAATCTTGTTAGATTTAATATTTAATAATGTCTAGTCAATAGTGAACTACTTTAAGTTGTCAGATCTAATATAAATTTGTCAAAGCTAAGTTTTCCAAAAATTATTTTGAAATGTAAAAAAGAATTAGTCTGTTTATCTGTCTCCAAAACTAGTTAATATTTAATATTGCTATTTCTGTAAATTTCAAGTAAGAGTTCGCTTAACTTAAAGGGACCCTAGACGTAATTAAAAAATCCCCCTCAACTAATGGATTGGCGAGTCCGATTCACAACGGTACTATTTTAGCCTCCATCTTAGTATCAATGAGGGAGGTTTAGTCGTGGATCTTAATTTTGAACATTTTACTTCAATGCATCCTTTATCAGATAAAGGTTTTGAGTCGTACAATACAACTATTTAAATCCTGATACTACTTTAAAACGAAAAGAAACCGGAAAGAAATAATCCTTTAAATTATAATTAAGAAAATAATGTCAAATACCCCTTAATCCTTCTTCACTTCTCTCCTCCTCCAACTATCCACCTCCCCCCCTCCCCCTTCTCACTTTATCCTAGTTAGCGCATTAAATGGCTTCCTTTGAATATTTTCCTGTTCTCCACGTACTCAATAACCTTTACAGATGAAGTGCGTACACAAACTAGTTTTACGCTTTAGCTTGACATGATAACAATTATTTTGCCAAATTAGACTCACCGAGCTTAGAATGAGAGAAATGTGAATAAATCTTCAGCTTATTCTTAAAGTAATACTTGTAATTTTCAAAGAATTTGTTCACTAACTCTAGTCATTATATGTTTAGTTATTGTAGACGTTTAATTGTTTTGTCATACTGACTAAAACACCTGATCTCTATCTTTTAAATTGTAGTCTATTATTATAATTACTATTGTTGTTTTTTAATTACATTACTGTCATCTTTAATTATCTGTTTTGTGACTTGTAAACCATGTCTATAGATAAGAGAACTTTCCAAATTTATTAGGTTTTAATAATGAACAATAATCCAATATTTATTTGTACTTGTAGTGGATTTTGAGCTGGGAACTTTTGTGTCGGATAATGTATAACGATAATCCTGATTGTTTTATCTCGATATCTAAATAAGACACTTTCAATTTGTACGCAGAATATGTTGATCTTGGTTTTTTGATTATCCACACTTTCTTGAACGCAAAATTAACTTTCTAATTAGCTGTTCTTTTCCCCAGATGAGACTCCACGGGATATCGAATAAAAATTAGATTAATCTGTAAATTTACAACATCTCGAGACCAACGCTTGATCTCGATATCCACAATAGAGGAGTTCCCAGCTTAGAGCTGAGAATTTTTGAATGGGATATCCCTAATTCCGATGTTTTAATTAATCTGGAGATTTATTTAATTTCGAGATTAAGAAATAGAATGGATCAAGCATTAATCCCGACATCCACCATTCATAAGTTCCCAGCTCTGGTCCCTTAACTCCATTATTGGGATTTGTGCTCAAGTATAATGTTGTACTTAACCCAACAGTTATAAAAGAGTTATTGTGTTTACTTCCTGAAGATTAAAGAGTACTTAACCTAAGAGTTTTAGTGTACTTTTTTCTTAACCTAAGGTTAATAGTGTACTTAATCTAAGGGTTAAAATGAACTTTACGTAAGGTTAAGAGGTAACTTAATCTAAAGGTTGGGTGAATAACTAAGAGTTGAAATGTACTTACCTTCAGATGTACAATATTAAAATGATTATTTAAGTCCAAAAGTTGTACGACTTTTACAAAAGTGTACTTTTTGCTAGGCTCTTCTCTTACATGTTGTTAAATGTTTGTTCTATTTGCGCCTAATTCAATTAATGACACACTTTATCATTTTGTGCTCAAAAAATATGTTATTTATAATTTGTAAAAATTAATTTCAGATTTATTTTCTTTTGAATTAAAGTGTTAGCGTCTAAAAATGTTTCTTTGGGATTGGTTCACCGGTGCTCTTGGATACTTGGGTCTTTGGAAGAAGTCGGGGAAACTTCTCTTCTTAGGTTAGTCTTGCTACATCATTTTGATATTTTTTCATAATATTTCACCTTTTTTGAACCTCTTTTTGTTAATGGCAAAATTTTTGTTTTTATGATGAGAAATCCTGTCATTGTTGAATACTTTATCAGCTTAAAAATTTAGTTTTTCGTAAAGTTTAAAGCTAAACTGTACCCACTACCCATGAAACTTATATCTGATCCAAAATGGGAAGATATTCTCTTTTTTATGTTTAATTCTGATAATTCTGGTTGTGGTCCTTAAATTGTCTTTATAAAGCAAAGAACTTGCTGAAAAATCTGAAAAAGTATTATTGTTAAAGATGTTTTTCCTAATGCTTTTGAAATGCCCCCCCCCCCCATCCTCGTACTATTTAGAATATATATATAATCTGAATACCTTAATAGGGTTGGATAATGCTGGTAAAACTACTCTTCTCCACATGTTGAAAGATGATAGGATGGCTCAACACGTTCCTACCCTTCATCCTACCTCAGAGGAACTCTCTATAGACAGAATTAGGTTAGTTGAACTCTTGATATAGTTAGACCTGTGGAAACTCTTTAGACAGAATTAGGTTAGTTAGAAGTCTTGATATAGTTAGACCTGAGGAAACTCTATTGACAGAATTAGGTTAGTTAGATCTTTTGATATAGTTAGATAGACAGAATTAGGGTAGTAAGAACTCTTGATATAGTTAGACCTGTTAAAACTATTTTGACAGAATTAGGTTAGTTAGAAGTCTTGATATAGTTAGACCTCTGGGAACTCTTTAGACAGAATTAGGTTAGTTAGAAGTTTTAAAATTCAGTGATGGTGATGGACCAAACCTCTGTAGAGTAAAAAAGTAGATGTTAGTTCCACATTTATTGAAAATATATTTCGGTCTGGGTTGACCCTCGTCAGTTCTAACGATATAATAACCATCAAAATCGATTAAAAAAATAAAAAATGTAAAAATCACAAGAATATAAACAAACAAAAAGATTATTCAAAATAAAAATTTGGGCTGTCAAATGGACATAAGTCAGTTAGAAGTCTTGATATTGTTAGACCTGTGGGAACTCTATAGACAGAATTAGGTTAGTGTTAGAACTCTTGATATAGTTAGACGTGCGGGAACACTTTAGACAGGATTAGGTTAGTTAGAACTTTTGATAATGGATAGACAAAATTAGGTTAGTTAGAACTCTTTATATAGTTAGACCTGCGGGAACACTTTAAACAGAATTAGGTTAGTTAGAACTCTTTATATAGTTAGACCTGCGGGAACACTTAAGACAGAATTAGGTTAGTTAGAACTCTTGATATAGTCAAAGCTGTGGAAACTAGGTTAGTTAGAACACTTGATATAGTTAGACCTGTGGGAACTCTATAGACAGAATTAGTTTAGTTAGGACTCTTGATATAGTTATACCTATGGGAACTCTATAGACAGAATTAGTTTAGCTAGAACTCTTATAGTTAGACCTGCGGGAACTTTATAGACAGATTGGTTAGTTAGAACTCTTAAAGTTAGACCTGCGGGAACTTTATAGACAGATTGGTTAGTTAGAACTCTTATAGTTAGACCTGCGGGAACTCTAAAGACAGAATTAGGTTAGTTAGAACTTTAATATAGATAGACCTCTTGATATAGTTCAAACAGTTTAATCTCGCTATAGACAGAATTAGGTTTGTTAGAACTCTTTAAGTTGAAACTTTTTATAAAGAATAAGATTATTTGGAATTTTTCATGGACAAAATATGATTATTTGGAACTCTTAAGTCTTAATACATAAAAAGATTATACAGATTTATTTAAAGACGGAACAAGAGTATTTTGAACTGTTTATAAAGATTACGATAACTTGGAACTCTTTATACAGATTATGATTATTTGTAACGAATACAGAAAAAAGATTATCAGGAACTATTATAGACTGAAAAAGATTATTTGGAACTTCTACTGAACAGAATTCAGTATGTTGTTATTTTTATGGAAAGAACTAGACTGTAGACAGTAGACAGTAGACGGTAGACAGTAGACAGTAGACAGTAGACAGTAGACAGTAGACAGTAGACAGTAGACAGTAGACAGTAGACGGTAGACGGTAGAGGGTAGACAGGGTAGACAGGGTAGACAGGGTAGACAGGGTAGACAGGGTAGACAGGGTAGACAGGGTAGACATGAATAGACAAGTTGGAACTCGTTGTTCAGACTGCTTTCAGAATTAGTGTGTAACAGAAAACTGTTTTTATTCCAATCATAATTATACTATTTTTAGGTTTACAACCTTTGACTTGGGTGGCCATCACCAAGCAAGAAGGGTAGGTTACTTTCTAATTTGGAGGATTAGGATCCGTTTGTCTTAGGACTGAATTAAGATTTTAATCCATCTTTTCTCAGGACGAATGCAGATTTTTTTTTACGAAACAAATCCCGAGATCAGGACCCCTTTTTTTACAAAACTGATACGAATAGACTTTTTTCATAATATAGGCTCAGGTTCTGGATCAACTTCGAAAAAGGAACATAGAATTAACGTGATCTATTGTTAAGGTTTGGAAAGATTATTTCCCCGCTGTGGACGCGATCGTGTTCCTGGTAGACAGCTGTGACCGAGCCAGGTTCGGGGAGAGTAAGGTAAACTAACTATTTTCTTTACCTCCCCCCTGCCCCCTCCCCCCCTTTATTATGAAACAAATATTTTCCTTAATACCTCCGAATGATATATACTTTGGAGAAAAAACTCAGCGGGAGCGGTTGAACGAGCGGTTGAGATCTAACCTAGACTCTTTGCAGCTCAGAATAAGAAATGCCCCTTTTTTCTCAAATATACAATTTGTTCAACTGCTTAATCGCACTTTTTCCTTCAAATTTTCAACAAATGAAATATAAATTGTCTTTATAAAGCAAAGAACTTGCTGAAAAATCTGAAAACCGTTAAAAGCATAAAAGTTGCTGAGAAATCTTTAAACAGACGGTTGAAAGCAAAAAATTCCTAAAAATCTAAAAACGAGCGGTTGAAATTAAAAAGTTGCTGAAAAATCTGAAAACCAGCGGTAAAAAGCAAGAAACGTTATTCAAGAAATATTATATTTTTAGCTGTTGAAAGGTAAAAAGTTGCTGAGAAATTTTTTAACCAACGGTTGAAATCAAAAAAGTTCCTAAAAATCTGAAAACCAGCGGTTGAAAGCAAAAACGTTATTCAAGACAAGTTATATTTCATTTGTTTCATTTTGTGAATGAACAAGTGGATGAGAGGATGAATAAGTGGATGAGAGGATGAATAGGTGGATGAGTGAATGAATAAGTGGATGAGTGAATGAGTTAAAGGATTAGTAAATAAAGGAGAGGATGAAATAATGAGTAATAGTGACTGAATGAATGAGTTGATAAGTTGATGAATTGAGTCTATGAACTGTTGAGCGTATGATTTGTTGAACTGATAATAAATGATTAATTGAAAAATGTTCAAATTCATGAATTACAAAATGTCTAATGTTAAGGTGGAGTTAGATTCTCTTCTAACAGATGAACAGCTGGCGAACTGTCCTGTTGTCATCCTAGGGAACAAGATTGACCGGCCTGGAGCAGCTGGGGAGGACGAGCTCAGGTACAGATTTAAAGGGACATGTCGTTGTAATGAGATGTCTTGGCATAAAGGGACATTTCCGTTGTATCAAGAATTGTGATTTTTGAGAAATTAGAGAGACCACGTTATTTTTGCATTTATTTCTTGGCGTGACAAATTTGTATTTTGCTTACCGCGATTTTGGTGTCATTTCAGATATTCTCACAAGTCACAATAAAGATTATAAAGATTGATTCTGGCGTCATTTCAGATATTCTCACAATTAAGATTGTTAAGATTGATTTTTTGAAAATAGTATGCCTCGGAATTTTAAAGCTAATATTTAGGGGCTAAATGAAATCGGACACATCATTTAATTACTTTTTAAGAGATTTTTGTTGACATTTGATTTAAGTTTGACCGGAAATTCTTTTTTCTATTTTTTTGGTTGTCTTCAAAAACACCAATAGAAGATTTTTTAACTTCAAAGGAGTTTTATCGAAAAAAAGTTTATTTGGAAAAATCTGTATTTTTGCCTCTGCAATCTGCATTCAACTACCCAGTTTTTTTATTTATACTGATGCTAGCATAAAGAGACAGGCGTTAGAAAACGGTATTGGCAATAAGAGGGATAATTGCACGATAATAAAAGGCTCTAAAGAAAAATCAGAGGTTTATACAAAACCAAGTACTAAGCTCTGCCCCCTCATCTTTATTTATACATTGCTGGGAACTTTAGAATGGTGGATATCGGAATTAATGCTTGATCCACTCTTTTTCTCAATCTCGATATTAGATAATGCTTGTTATCCTCTTGTTATTAATCTCCAGATTAATTAACTGATCAGGATTAAGGATATCCCATTCTTAAGTTTTCAGCTCATGACTAAGAACTTGAAAATACTTGAAAGCAGATTTACATCTACTATTGTTCCCGTGTTTCCTCTTTTTTTTGTTAAAGACGATATTTTGCCGCATCAATATATAATTTGATATTTAGGCAAATATTCGGTCTGTACGGACAGACTACAGGAAAAGGGAATGTTCCACGAAGTGAACTGCATGGGCGCCCTCTTGAACTTTTTATGTGTTCGGTTCTCAAGAGGCAGGGATATGGCGAGGGATTCAGGTAAAAGATGCCCCTCCCCCACATCTTCGTCTTTTCAATATACCCTCCAAACCTTCTCACATTCTTACTCCTGTCATCAAATTCTTCCTCTTGCATCATATTCCTTTCTAATTAAAGGCGATTTGTTCAGGTGGATTTCCCAGTATCTGGATTAATCCGTGTAACTGATGCTAAAATCTTCCGACAACACCTGCACCGAGATCAACAGCTGACATCATCCGGAGATATCTGTGGGACTAAATTTCAGCTGTATTTATACAGACTCGGGTCAAACAAATTTAATTTTAAATCAATTTAAATCAATCTTGAATTCTTCTTTACATCAATTGTGATACTTTTCATACCCTGTGAATTGGTTTGAAGGAGAAGGGGGGGGGGGGTTCAAAATTTCGGGAGTTTTATCGTTGAAATTGTTGCATTGTGATTATGTATTTTGTATTTACGACAAAAATATTAAATAAAAATAGAAATATTAAATTTTTATAATTGCCAATAATCCTTGTAGGGACTGGAAACGTAATTTCTAGTGACCTTCCATGCAAAGCTTGCAATGTTCTATTCACAACTGTACCCACTACCCATGAAACTTATATCTGATCCAAAATGGGAAGATATTCTCGTTTTTATGTTTTTTATGTTTAATTCTGATAATTCTGGTTGTGGTCCTGCAGTAGAATGCGCAGGGATTACTTTTGTAGAAAACTCACAAAATTTTTCGTAACTAAGTCATGTTAAAACTTTAAACTGTTTATAAAAAACTAAATTTATCGATTGCCATCTGGTGGACTAGGCTTGGTACTTGAATATCTCTTTTTACCAAGGATGTATAATATTATACATATACATAATACAAACTTGCTTATGACAGACTGCGAAAATACGATTCAGCTGATGATTACGGAATTCATAATCGGTTTAAAGGTTTTGTTGGGTATTTGGAGAAACGGCTTTCCGGAGCCTCCTAATTTGCAGAATGATTCGCAGAATGGCCTCTAGCCATTCAAAATCGTCACCGAGCCTCATGCTACGTCTACCAGGCTCTTAACTCTGTATTTACGTCCAGTAATCCGATATCCAATAACAATTATTTGACTTTTATATCCATCAAAAGCCTTCTTTTAAATCTCTTAAGATCTCATTAAGTTTTTAATGGTACAAAAACAATTTGTATCAAAAATTCTACTTTAATTGAGGATAAGACTTCTAATTATATTTTTCTAAATTTCACAAATTCCTAAACTTCTGCATAACTATTGTAGCTTTATATGCAGACAGATAAATTTTTTTTCGTTTCATAAGAGAATCCATAGATAAATAAATAAACATAGGTAGCTTATGTACGCAAAATCACCAAGAATTGTTCAGTCCGCGAACTCAAACTTATAGGGGTCAAAGTGTAAAATAACTCCGGGAATAGAATTATTTGAACAACAATATTTCACTGAGCAATATATCATATTGACGAGAACTGAAGAAGGACTAAACTAACTTAAATTTCTCTCTACAGAACTCATGTACACCACAAGTACTCAATGACATAAGAACAGAAAATGTTCACAACCGACCTAGGTAATCTATGTAATAGGAAGATCTTTAAAACATCTCTGTACATTTAGATCTTTCAAGATGAAAAATGTCGTCTTATGCGCAATCTATCTTTACCTATGGGAGAATCATGTACAAATCTAACTACACTACCACCACTTCACAAAACATTATAGTTTTTGCAAAATACTTGAATAATGAAATAAAGTTAAAGTTTTTTTAAAAAAATTATGTTTTGTAAACTGGTGGTAGTCTGGTTACAGAGCTGCCAACAAAGGATTAGACTTCAGAGTCGATTGTACCAAATTTACACTGTCTCCTGATATTTTTGATTCCCTGCAACTGCAACTGTAAAATTGCACTTTTTATCTCGTCAGGAGTTTATCTCGTTAGGAGTTTGTCATGTCAGGAGTGTGTCTTGTCAGGAGTTTGTCTTGTCAGGAGTTTGTCTTGTCAGAAGTTTGTCTTTCAGGAGTTTGTCATGACACCTTCGTAGATGATACACCTGAAATGCAAGACGCGAAGGAAGGAAGGCACACTGGTTCTCCCGAGTTCCCAATGAAAATTTGAGGTGAATCGGCCTAGGTGATCATGAGTAAGGATCGGACATAAACACAGAGATAACTTCTTTGTAGTTTTGCCTTTACAAAAGCATAATCTATTATATTTGTTTAAAATTAGTTTACAACCAATTTTAGAGGAGCTATAATGTCACAAGGTCGTGCCAGTAATTTCACATACACTTATATTCTCCATCTGTCTAACGAAGTGCGTCATCGTTGAACCTTGGTTTGCAGAGAGAGAAACGATCTCTTTATATCCTCCAATACTAATCATTCCTTGAACAGGATGGGGACAGAGAACACTACTACTCCAGTAGTATTTGGTAAACTACTTCATTTATTCTTACCACCGTTTGTCCAACATTACCGACCCATCATTCCCCCGGGATGTTAATTAAGTTACTTAGAGTCCATTGGGACAATTACGTAAGATAAACCAACCGCTTTAGGAAGTTTTCGTAAAAAATGTTATCTAAAAAAACTAAAAAGCCGATAAAATTTCCTCGACCAATGTTGTCTACAAGATTCATTAAGATTTAAAATTCGGTGATGGTGATGGACCAACCCTATGTAGATTTTAAAAAGTAGATGCTAGTTCCACATTTATTGAGAATTGGGAATTGTTGTCCTTGTCATGTTTAATATTATGTTGATTATAGTTTTTATTATCGTTTTTTACTCTGGATATGGGCCGGGATCCTAAAAATTTGTGCCCATTTCTAACACTCAGTGTTAGAAATGGACCAAGTGTTAGTTTTGGAACTAATATCCCCTGAAGTTGCAAAAATGCATAAGATTCATTAACATCAGCTTAGGTTGATGGGTTTGGAAAGTACAAACAACTTAATTTTCGCCTTTAATTGATTTTGGAAAAATCTTTATGAAAATCCTTGAAATTGATCCAAATAGTTCTCTTTTACCAAAAATGTAAAGCTAACGCTTTCCTGGACTCCCTGGACGAAACAGCCAAACATTCCTGAACTTTCCTGTAAAGTAGTCGTAAATAATTAATACTCAAGGGGTCAGGTACCTGTCAGTATGCTTGTTTAGGGGGGGGGGGTTAGAAAAGAACTGTCAATGAAAATTTAAGTGAAACTCAATTTAAAAGCTACATGTCCAATTCACAAACATTCACTTTCCATTTTTTTGGAGCACACTGTACATAAATCTAGAAATTCGGGGCACACTGTACATAAATCTAGAAATTTGGGGCACACTGTACATAAATCTAGAAATTTGTGGGTAAAGATAGACTTTTAAATTGTTAGTTAAATAATCCTGAAACCTGATATATTTGTTTAGATGTTGAGTACTGGAATATTTCTAACCTGATGGGAATAATTGGAAATCCACCAAACATCTTAGTTGTAAGATAAACAAAGAGTTTATGATAGTTCTTGTTCAATTTATAATTCACAGTTGAGACTACTCTTCCTACAAAATTAGACTACCCGACCTACAAAATTATGCTACCCGACCTACAAAATTATGCTATCCGACCTACAAAATTAGACTACCCGACCTACAAAATTATGCAACCCGACCTACAAAATTAGACTACCCGACCCACAAAATTATGCTACCCGACCTACAAAATTAGGCTACCCGACCTACAAAATTAGACTACCCGACCTACAAAATTATGCTACCCGACCTAGAAAATTAGACTACCCGACCTAGAAAATTATGCTACCCGACTTAGAAAATTATGCTAACCGACCTAGAAAATTAGACTACCCGACCTACAAAAATATGCTACCCGACCTACAAAATTATGCTACCCGACCTACAAAATTAGACTACCCGACCTACAAAATTAAAGGCTACCCGACCACAAAATCAGACAACCCGACCTACAAAATTATGGTACGAGACCTACAAAATTAGACGGTGACCTACAAAATTATGCTACCCGACCTAGAAAATTAGGCTACCCGACCTACAAAATTATGCTACCCGACCTACAAAATTAAACTACCCGACCTACAAAATTAGACTACCCGACCTACAAAATTAGACGGTGACCTACAAAATTATGCTACCCGACCTACAAATACAAAATTAGACTACCCGACCTACAAAATTAGACTACCCGACCTACAAAATTATGCTACCCGGCCTAGAAAATTAGGCTACCCGACCTACAAAATTAAACTACCCGACCTACAAAATTAGACTACCGGATTATACAAAGATTACCCGACGTATAAAATGAGACTACCCGACCTACAAAATAATGAGACCAGTTGAACTGTATATTGAGACTACACGACCTACTAAATGAGACTACCCGACCCACAAAATGAGACTATCCGACCTACAGAAAGTGGTGTTTTCCACCCAATTGCTCAAACTTCTTCACTTTTCCAAATCTAAGAATAAAAACAAATTTTATATATTGATGCATATGGTAGGGTTTAATATTTAATCTTAAAGCTAAAAATAAAAATAGAATAGAAGTTTTAAAATTCTGTATAAGGAGCAACAAACAGATTATTCATATTAAATATAAATCTAAATAATACTTGAAGGACTCTGAATTTATTTGAACTAGTGTAAATCATGTAAATCTATATAATAGAGCTCTTCGTTAAATATTTGTTTGTATGTTAGCTATAGCTGACGAAATCGCTGGACCAAATTTGCTAATTATATTTTTTAAGAGAAAAAAAATGAAATATGTTTTTAAACCTCTCAATTTTTTTTCTTCAAAAATTTCACGGGCAAGGCCGGGCAAACGAGGTCATATAGTATATAGCAAGAAATATATAGTTTCCTTTCAATAAAAGCCATACAATAAGTTTTGTCTGGGTAGACTTGTAAATATAATGAGAAGGTTTCTGTAACTGTTTATTTGTCAATATTTCTCATATAAACGCATCAAAAGACACATAACTGAAATTTACAAATGGTTAAGACATATAAGTTAATAAATATGCATACACTAATGCATACAATCTATAAAAGGTTATTTAAGGTTTACAAAATATTTCCTTTTATAATAATAAAGTCATCTTGGAAAAAGCATCCCCACACCTATCAATTGAAACTACCTGCTTTGAATGTTTAGACAGACAGATATTAAATGTCGTCTTTTATTACTAAATCAAAGCAAAGTCAATCTGTATGTTTTAGTACTTGGGGGATTTCTGAAAATCAT